GGGGGAAGGGTGCGGATGCTACAGAAAGGAGCGGTGCAGATGCGAGAGAAGCAGTGCATCGCAATGTCGCTAGAAATCAATTTGAAACAGCGTGATGGCTGCGGCTGTTCGTTATGCGGGACCAGGGACCCGAACGCGGGGTACCTACCGCGCGACATTGCGCACAGCGTACACTGTGTGTTCGTCTAAACTCGATATGTATGTACATTCAAGCTGCAAGACCGACAGGAGTCCAAGCAGGGTCACACGAAAGTGCTTCAGGTCGATGAAGAATAGGAGAGATCAGATCAATGTATGCGTTGTGGAAACGTGCGAAGAGCGCTGTGGCAACATCTGTCCCTGGTGCAACGGAAGCCAAAAACAAGCTGTAACGTTAGTCTCCAAAGCCAAGCCGTGCGTGTAGGGATGGTGAATGCTACCAAACCCGGCCATTCCGTGAGTGCGAAGTCAAAACAGCCAGCTCAACAGTTCTTGAAAACTGGTCTTCGTGACTTGCCTGTCTGATTCGTGTTGTTCCATAGCTTGCGACGGCTGCTGCTCAGCATCTGGCCTGTTTCTATTACAGAACTATGGATTAAGTCCTTTGTGAGGGTGTAGTACTCAAGTACATGAAAAGCAGTCCGGGAGGGGTGTCGCACTGCACATGCAGAAGAGCACTCTGTTCGGCAACCCCGCGCTGAGTCTCTGCCCTCGGGCTCTCCGTGTTGATGATATTTATGCTCATGTACCTCAGTAGATGTTCATACCATGCACACAGTCGGCGGAGAAGGACATGTTCACGCGGACCCCATCCTAGCCGCATGCCTCCCGGTGCGATGGCATACGAATTCCAGAGTTTATACGATGCCTTCCTGGCGTTGAGGTGTAAGGGAGAGCGAACGGGGCCGGGGTCACAGAGTAGTCTCTCAGAAGTAATCGAGCATTCTCTGGCTGGGATGGATCCCGTAAATTACAATGGCAACTTATACATCCGGAACTGATGTCTGGTATAAATCGGAGAGCTTATCTGGTCACATACCACGTATACGTCAACATTCTTCCACGCGGTGTATCTGGGTGAGGATATTCAGAAGACGCAAAACAGCATTGGGGACCATACACACCTCTGCCGCCAGTCTCGTCCACTCCGTCAACGACCTGAGGTACTCATCCCGCCCCTCGTCCACCGGAATGTCCGGGTGCCATAGCACAAACGACGAGAACGTCGAGACAGGTCGCAGGACGCGCGCAGGGCCCTCCTCCGACGGTGTGGAGCCATCCATCATACCTGCGTCCTCGTCTGTGTCCTCCACCTCAACCACCTCGGGCTCCTGCGCGCGTTTCGACCGCCGCGTCGCCCTTCCCTTCGGCTTTGGCCGCTTCTCCTCGCGCCTTGTATCCCTTGACGCGACTCCTTTGCCTTTGGCGTCGTCTGGGGTGCGCAGGACGATACCCGCATAGCCCTCTGGAAGGTTGACCTCCACGCCGTGCATCGCACGGCCCCTGAAAGATGCTGCGAAGTGGCGCATTTCTGGGTGTGGTGCCGCGGTCGCGTCGCATTCGCTCTTTTCAACGTCCACATCCATCAAAGTCGAGGTCGACGCAAGAGTGGCCACGGAGGACGAAGACGCATCAGTGGAATCCGCGACGAGGGTGGTTTGAGACACCGTCGAGTCTTGAGATTCGGAGGATAGTAGTGGCTTCGGTAGAGGTCTGATGTCGCGTCCATAAGTAGGTTCTGGCGCGGAGTTCACGCGAAGATAGGTGGAGATGGGAGCAGGTCCGGAATATGCGATGTGAAAGGGCATAAGATGCGGTGTATGGGTCGGCGGAGGACGTTCCGACAACGCGAGCTTCAAGGTAGAGTTGGGTTTGTACATGCCGAACAAGAGTCGCGCTAGGTATGGAGAGTGGCAGTGGGCAAGTGTAACTCCCGACTTTGGTACTGCCGTTGCGCGTCGAGGCCTATGGTGCAGTTCAATTAGTGGCATCCACTTTTGTACGCAGTTAAGCGCGCGCTTAATGATCACGTGACATGGCCTTACTTTCGAGTCAACGGTTTTTGCTCAGCGTGTCGGGCGGGGTCGGCGATGCTTGGCCCGCCACTTGGATTGACCGACATACCATATATAGTATAGTACATACCGACCACGATACAGCATGTAGAGTAGTATGCTTTTTCAATCACAATACTACCTGATTATCCCTGTCCCTGATACTCACCGACAACATGCCTCGACG